CACAGTTAAATGTGTTCAATCATACTGTATAATTCCACATGTCTCGATGTGCTTTAAATTGCATCCGAAATATATATAATATATGGGGAAATAAATGTGAACCATTACGCAACGAGTTGTCTATTGTTTTAGGTATGCCCGTCTGCGCTAAGACGGAACCCGGTCGCAAAAATGGCCATGAGAGGGACACGAGTCGCTATTCGGCTTGTCCCGGAATAACACGAGTTGGGTCACGAATGATATCATCTTATGAAAACATTCGTCACGCATCGTTGCACCGGTAGCTTTAGGCCACGCCCCCAAATACTTTTGTTTTGGAATCCGATTACGGAGCGTGTGATTTCAGCACTTTCACTTTGACATTTAAATACTTTCTGCAAATGTTATGATATTTATTCTCTTGGGAACTGACTGCATGTATCTGGAAAAAAAATTATATTCGCATCAAAATCGCAATCATTTTTTTCATTTACCCTTAAGACATTTTCATTTGCAAATCTAACATATGATAAAATCAATTGAGAGGTATAGTTTCGTTTGCTCCTCAGTTTATAGTAAGAATGACATGATCAACAGATGTTTTCCCCCGTACGCAGAATTCACCTTAAGTTCTGTTAATCTATCCTCAGATTAAAACAGTCAACACCCGATTTTCTAGTATATGGTGAATTAGGTAGATATCCGTTAACGATTCAGATAAAAATAAGAATGATATCTTTTTGGAGCAAACTAATTGTATCGACTAATAAACTATCTAGCCGCATCTACCTGCTAATTCATAAAATCACAATGACTAGCAATACTGCATTTCCATGGCTCACCTCAATTAAAAATATTTTATATGAAACTGGTTTGAATTTTGTCTTTGATACTAACTCTTTTCCAAATCTCTCTTGGCTTAAAACTAACGTTAAACAAACCTTAATAGACAACTTCTATCAAAGCTGGAATGTCAAGGCGTGTTCTTCATCTAAAGGCAAATATTATACAATGCTAAAAGACAAACCACAGTTAGATGAGTATCTATTATCTCTCCCATTGAAACAAGCAATCTGGATTCTTAAACTGAGAACATCAAATCACAGACTACCAATTGAGAAAGGCAGATGGTTTAACACACAGAGTACTGAGAGAACTTGCACTTTATGTAACGACCAAATAGGAGATGAATTTCACTTTCTATTAGTATGTCCAAGACTTAATGACCTTCGAAAACAATACCTTCCGGCCTACTATACTAAATATCCATCCACTCTAAAATACAATCAATTAATGAAATGTTCATACAAACCCATTCTAGTAAAACTGGCTCAGTTCTGTAAAAAAGGTTTAACATTATTTACATAATTAAATATCATAGGATCGTCGATCTATGGCTGGAAAATTGCCCTCGCGACGTTAAAATTTGTGAATTTCACTCTACAATATAATATATGTGTATATTTTATGTGTTCACGTGTGTAGTTATGCAGATCATAAATGTATTATAGAAATGCATTATGGGTGCATGTATGTATTCATGTATGTATATATTATTAGATATTATTGTCGGTGTGGTTGTGTATATATTCAACCTCATGTATGCTCTGTAATCACTCTGTTTGATTTTCTTACGAGCAATAAACTTCTGTTCTGTTCTGAAACACTTGACAGCAATCGTGACGGCATTAAGGCAATGGGAAGATAAGTCTTCTGTTAAAATCCGGACAATTAACATTCATTGAACGATTATATCATTACCGAACAAAACAAACTCGTTTTGATAGCCTAATATACCGTTACATGTCTTTTATAGCCGTGGGCAGCTGCAATACTGCTGATGCGGCTTAAAGAAATATTTCCCCCGTTTAGATCCGGGTTAGAATAGGTTTTCAGCAAAAAATGCAAGAGCCGATTAACGGGATTGGGTGGTCAGGCTCGCTGACTTGGTTGATGCGTGGATCACAATCGTGTGGATCGATGCTCACGATATCAATCACTAGATTGTCTGGTCAAGACACGATTTTTTACAGACCGCCGTCATATAGCTGAAATATTGCGTGTGGCGATAAACAAACAAACAAACAAACAAATAAAGTAATATTTACTCACTCACTGCCTTTTATAAAGACAGAAACGATGATGAAAAATGTTTTCCAACTTGTCATTGTCTCATGGCTAGTCTCTAAATAGATACTGAAATTATAAATAACGACCAGCGACTGTAGGGAAATTGCTTTTATTGAAACAATGTCTCAGCAGCCACAGCAGCTTCATCACTACATACTCTCTCTGTACACACAACTAGATGATAGGTACATTGTACACGCCTGGTGTAGTCTACACGGAATATCACATGGGACGCTTGTAAGCACAGGGTTTTATTAACAACACAGTCATTATTGCTATAGCACGCTGGGTTGTCGCCTGTTAAATATATATTACACTATACAGTTCCTGTCAATATTTAACGATAGTTCCTAATTACGAGCCGTGTATTACTGATGTTTGGCCCTGAACATGGTTATAAGCGCGAGTGCATTATATGTTGTATCAGACATCATGCCGTTCCTATCAAGATTTTACATGATCTCTTTTCGGGTCTTGTGGTACCACCTTTTGCCCCCGAACGAGAGTTGAATAGGCCAGCCATCCGGTCTATGCATGTCAAAGAGAAAAAAGTATACTTAGATCACAGCGATACATTTCCGCCTTTTGGCTCCGAGCAAGGATTAACATTGTACTGTCATACGGGCAAATTATTTATGTCAAAGAGAAAGTACTTGATATGGTAAGATTACAACGTTATATCCCCATTAGACGTTTTGTATAGCTGTTCTTCAGCCATGAACAAGGTTTACATATAGCTACAAGCTGACATACTGAATACGCCAGCCAACTAGACTAGTACGATACATAATCCTCGTTTGGGGCACTGCATTGTCATGAACAAGGGCTTTCAGGTGACCAGAGACATTTGAACCAGACAATACATATTCTACTATTTGATATAATACATTCACATGGTCTTTTCACGCTTCTCTCCGCCCGCCCTGAATATGGATATATAGAGCTGTTAATTTATGGCATATACATGTACCATATACTATACATTTCTACAATATGTCCACGATACCTTGGGCCCCAAATAAGACTACACAACAAGTCCGTCATCCATATCAGAGAGATGACATACTATATTTGTTCTACCACTCTCAGCACTGATTACTACTCAGTATGGGCCGTGTATTGCCGCACTTCGACCCTGATCGAGCCTTTTACAAGAATTCCCTACACAAGGCTTGTTCTTTTCCTCCATTTTGGGTATTGACACTCGTGTTATGTAACTATCACTAAAGATTAATGAAATTAATTTCTAGATATGACATTTAATATAGGTACAAATTATCAAAATTACTCTATAAAAGGACATTTATCATAACCCCTGCGTCAATAAGATTATTAGTCATCAGTGATTTGGTACTAATTGTGATGAAGGGAGAGGTGTAAGGCCTTTAATGTCATAGTTTACTTTACATGTATGTGACATTTCATATTAACATTCTTGCAATTTCTTTTCCTTATTCTGTAGCTGTCCTACAACGAAATAAAAAGTCGCAGCATTTGCAGCAATATTGGGGATACAATTGTAGTAAATATATGTTTATGAATTAATGAAAAATGAAGTGGCTATGAATACGGACACTTGTCATATACTAAACAGAAACTGTAACCATCACAGAAATATAAATATGATTACGAAATCTATTTCATTTACATCATAAAGACGCCGATATCATTTTCATAAATCTATATACATGTAATACATCATATAAATATACACCGTTTTATAAACATATATGGGTTTCAATGCCAACAGGTGACTAACTGGGGGTTTGCTCTACGTCTAATCATCTACATGTATCACAAACACCTAGAAACGTCATGCATATTTGTTTGATTTGCTCTACATCGGAATTTACATCAGGACAAGGAACCAATATGACTACGGATCAACGAACAACCTTGTTCTTAAGTCACTCCAAGAAATGCCAGTACCCAGAAACGTGATCATTGTCATCATCCGATACCACTTTGTTTGTCAACAATAATTACGTTCAAATTCATGCAAGTCCATTCGTTTACCATTCGTTATCACTCGGGTCTTTCCGTAATTTGCAATACAATAAAATGTCTGTTCCTGAATGAGACGATTTTTCACAAATGATCTCGAAATGGATTTTTTTCAATGTATTATAGAATAAAATTGTGAAAATATCTGTCGCCCACGCAATGAATCATATTCACAAGCAACCATCAAACGTCCGTACGTTGTTCATAAATATTTTATATTCTCTTCAATCCAACCAATACAATCCATTCAAGGTAACTCTTTGTATCCTTACGAATTCCACTTATGTTTTGTGCACCACTGAATTTAAAAAAGTATTGAGATGAACAATCAACAGCAAATAAAGACAATATTTTTATTACATCTGCTCATCACTTGGATGACGAAAGAAAATAAAAACAAACATACAACAATACATCATGTGCTGATGGTAGAGTGTCAACTGAATGTAAATTCATAATCTACAATACACGTATCTCAGATATATGTAACAATTATATATCATACATAAACTTTTGTATAAATGCCATCACTATTACCCCTTTGTAAGGGGATCGGGATACAAATAGGTCTTCAGCAACCAATGCGTGCCGTAGGAGGCGACTATCCTTTTTGTGAGAGGCGACTAACGGAATCGGGTGGTCAGACTCGCTGAGTTGGTTGAAAAATGTCATCGTGTCCTAGTTGCGAGGATTGACGTTCGTGATGTCAATCACTGGATTGTCTGGTCCTGACTCGATTATTTACAGACTGCTCTCAGAACCTTGCTACATTGCTGAGTGCGGCGTTAAACAACAAACAAACAAACAGTCAGGATGAATATCCAAAGCACCTCAAGTTTCTCCTGGTCACGTGACGTGTGTGAATCCGGGCGATGTTTCTGGTCAAATTAGCCGACCACATCTGAAATAGAAACAAGAGAAATATTCATCCATGTCTTTCTGCAGAGACTCGTAGTTTACATAAAAACCTTTCAGTAGCATTTTTCGGACATTTTTGCAAATATATGCACCTTCTTTAATGTTATCATCCACTGTTTACTCGTGATAACATGGCTATATATTTGGACATGGCCCGCCCTGCCTTTCAGGAGGTTAATCATCCAAAGGGACATGTTCATTTCTGTGATTTCCTTTTCCGATTGTCAAACAATTATCAGTTGGGCATGATAGTACTTGTATGGTTGCCCGTCAGACAAGTCACCCTTGTATCTGAATGGCTGAGAGAATGATTGAATGACGACATGCATCGATGTTCACGGTATCAATCACAGATAGTGTCGCTCGCTACCACACCAAGAGTTTACTCACTTATTAGTTTTGGTTGATACATTTTTACATAAGCAAGTGAGCTTTAAGCAGTGTTCCAGCTTTTTAAGGATGGGTAACATCATGCCTGGACTGCACAGCGCATGACCAACTTAAGAATCGAACCCGTTGTGACAAGCGAACAGTTTGACCACTGGGCTAACACGCCAACTCGTAGCCGTAATATAGCTGGGATATTGCTGAGTACGGCTTTAAACAACAACAAACAAACAAAAACCAAAAAAAACAACTCGTAACACTTACAGTTATCCGATACATCAGGGCGTGAAATGTCGACCCCATCACCATAGTATGCAGGATAAGACGCCCCACCAACCATGTTTACTCCCGGCGTTCCTGCGACGATGTTAACGTCGCCGTCAACAGACAACCCTGCTGGGAGGTTATACCCCGCTCCACCGACAACGCCCCCTCCAACAATATTCACGTTACCGTCAATAACACTGGCAGCGGCTGGGACAGCCACCGCTCCACCACCCAAGCCAACGCCTCCTCCAACGATGTTGACGTTTCCGTCAATAACATTCGCACCTACTGGGACTGGAACCGCTCCACCAACCACACCAACTGCCCCGCCAACGACGGAACGGCCAATGAGGGGAGGAGACGCCATGGGCATTGGAATAGGCATTAGCACAGGAATCGGAACTGGTATATGAATAGGCATCGGTAGATGGATAGGCATTGGTATACGTAGAGGCAACGGTAATGGCATGTGCATTCCTATAGGAAAACGTCTTGGCAAGAAAGGAAAATGAGAAGTTGTCGGATTTGTGAGACAGGAGACGAGAACGACGGTAAGGATGGATTTTGTTGCCATGGTTGCACCCTTGAATAGAAGTAACAGAGAATATCACTTTAGTACGAAACATCATTCATATTAGCATTGAACAACTTCTCAAAGACTAGGTACAGACAAGCAATGAAGCTCTGAGGAACAATGTGCTACTGGTATTTAGGAAGTTAACACACTGTGTTTTTCAATGTAGAGCTTGGTTACCTGTAGATTTGACCGCCCTAAATTGAATTGAGAACCGAACGCGCACCTCTGAAGAAAACTAAGCAAGCCTTGCAAAGATTTCGTTCTACACCTGGCGTCGCTATTATGATGTCATATTGCTCATTGTGACGTAAAAAGATATGACGTCACATTCGTATATAGAAAAGCGCCAAATAGCTCCTTGCAGTTTTCTATCATGTTTTCTGCACTAAACGTATTGCCCCGCATCCTTTGTATTTTATAGCAATCACAACTTTGCATTTTTTCCCGATAATTATAAGATAATTATTTAAATATGCCTACCGACAATGACTGAAAAATGTACTATTCTATGAACATAGGTTTCTGCAGGGATGCGATCGTCAAACAAGTTGTTTCAGTCAGAGGGGGTTTAATAGCCTTTCGAGTAATTTCCAATTTCATGGTAGAATCTATAATGGTGCATATTCCAAAATTAAATAACAGTTTAAGGCCAACAATTTGTGAATTTTAGAAAAGAACAAAATACGAAAGTTGAACCTTGAGAGCATCAACACAGATCACTACTCCAAACCTGCTTCAAAGGTCAAACGTATATGAAACTGCATACTTACTCTGGACAATATTCGCTGCAGATACTATAGACTTCTGTGAGTGTTATGAGGAACCACATCCACCTAGCATTTATATAGACACGGTAAAGGAGGAAATGGTCACCCATCAATTAAGGACCGGTCAAAACATCTGTTAGTAGACAAAGCATCACTCAAACGTGTTGTCGTGTAGGAAGAACGGCCGTATTGGTTTGAAGGGTCAACATACGTGGGTTGTCCACATAACTCATGTCCCCTCTGGGGGAGTACGTGGGGCAGTGTGTGAGGGGGTCAGGGGGCAGTTGAGAGGCCGTGATGGTTGTTGTATGTCCTGAAACAGGATCACACCAAATGATATTTTAAATTTCAATTGATGTGCTACTAAGCGTCTGTGTGATCGTGAACTATTTTAGAATGTTCATGTCGGTGCTGAACAAAGATGTACAGAAAGTGCTGCCAATACCAACACTTTCATCGCTGCATGAACTTCCAGAGACAAATGTATGAGAACTTTCTGAAGACGCAAATAGAAGAAATAGAGTTAATGAGTGGTGGAGGTAGTAGTGGCACCATCAACTGTTAATAGAGTGAGTGAGTTGGGTATAATGCCGCAAAGGTGGTAGAGTAGTAGTAGTAGTAGTAGTAGTAGTAGTAGTAGTAGTAGTAGTTATTTAAGTAGTCGTAGTAGTAGTTGTAGTAGTAATAGTAGTGATTGTAGTAGTAGTAGTAGTAGTAGTAGTAGTAGTAGTAGTTATTTAAGTAGTCGTAGTAGTAGTTGTAGTAGTAATAGTAGTAATTGTAGTAGTAGTCGTAGTAGTAGTAGTAGTAGTAGTAGTAGTAGTAGTAGTAGTAGAAGTAGTAGTAGTAGTAGTAGTAGAAGAAGTAGTAGTTGTTGTTGTTGTTGTTGTTGTTGTAGTAGAAGTAGTAGTAGGTTAAAGTTATGCTACACTTGACGTGATTGTAGAAATAATAGAAGTAGTACAAGTAGTGGTAGTAGTTGCAGTAGTAGTAGTAGTGGTAGTAGTGGTAGTAGTGGTAGTCGTATTAGTAGTAGTTGAAGGTATAATATACTTGCAGTAGTAGTAGTAGAAGTAGTTGTTGTTATTGTTGGTGTTGTTGTTGTTGTAGTAGAATTAGCAGTAGTAGTAGTAGTAGTAGTAGTAGTTGTTGTTGTTGTAGTAGAAGTAGTAGTAGGTTAAAGTCATGGTACACTTGAAGTGATTGTAGAAATAGTAGAAGTAGTACAAGTAGTAGTAGTAGTTGTAGTAGTAGTAGTAGTAGTTGAAGGTATAGTATACCTGCAGTAGTAGTAGTAGTAGTAGTAGTAGTAGTAGTAGTAGTAGTAGTAGTAGTAGTAGTAGTAGTAGTAGTAGTAGTAGTAGTAGTAGTAATAGTTGTTGTTGTTGTTGTTGTAGTAGAAGAAGTAGTAGGTTAAAGTTATGGTACACTTGAAGTGATTGTAGATTGTGATAGTAGTAGTAGTAGTAGTAGTAGTAGTAGTAGTAGTAGTAGTAGTAGTAGTAGTAGTAGTAGTAGTAGTAGCAGTAGCAGTTCAAGGTATAGTATACTTGAAGTAGTAGTAGTAGTAGTAGTAGCAGTAGTAGTAGTAGTAGTAGTAGAAGTAATACTAGTAGTATCTCGTCGAATAGATGCTGTTGACTGTTGACTCTTCCTCACATGGCGTGCGAGATCAGATTTTGCATTTTGTCATTTTTGATATTTATTTTTACAAATCAAATTTTGCTCAGGGGAAATTTTGTGAAATAAACTTGAACCTACATCTCTTCAATATAAAATACCATTATCTGTGCCTTGGGACTAGCGTGCGGGAATTATGGTATGTGTATGTGCAGTTATCTCCCTTTGACCACTACGAAATGAATATTCTCTTTTATGATGTCTTGGCCCCACACATAGTGGCCTTGACCGTCAAACAAGGCTTTACCCGAAGAATTGACAAGATACACATTTATTTATGTCCCCACACTGATGGACAAGGCGGGTAGCCCATGGCTAAACATTAATTGGTTTAATGAAGACTGGGGTAAGGAAATAAACTTACAACCACTTGACCCCTTCAACGTTCGAAATGTTGGAAATTTGTGTCGAAAAAAGGAAATATATTTATTCATAAAGATAAGTTGTGTATAATGTTGTTTTATTTTTTAAAAGTTTTAAATCAAATTATATTTTACAAATAAATACAACCTTGTACAAGCATTCTTTGAGTGTCTACTAAGAAAATTCACTTTACAAACAGGAACTGGTATTCCACTGTGGCAAATGCACAGGTTAATTTCAGAGATTATTCCCAGTTGTATGAGTGGTCGGCGCTTGATTTTAGTCGGATACAAGTTCATGGCCAAGACCGGACGTCATACTTCCAAATTTTTTCAAACTCGAAATGTTCTCAAAGAGAATGTCCAGATACCATTAACACTAACGATGACTTTGTCACGAAGCACAATCTTATCTATCAGCATTAGGCTGATGAATCACTGGTGAAGTTTCTGACAAACTACCAACAAACAAATCACCTCGAGGGGTGGCATTCAAACCTGAGAAGACTTGAAGTAGCCATCTAAATCCATGGAGATACTACAGGTTGGGGAAGACAGTACTGAGACCACAATCATCAAGCTTCGATCAGGTAGTTCGATGTCACCCCAGAAGAAGATTATCGGAACTTAGGCCATGCCCTTGTCAGGAAGAAGCGACAACTTCTTGCCAACCAGAAACCAGTGAACGATTGCCGTTTCTCATCTAGTTGGACTGTGAATTATGACAACTGAAATGTTAAATAGAAATTCGACAAAAAAGACAATATTTTGTACAGTCATAATACTTTTTATCAATTATTTGTTTTAAATATTAAAGTAAATGAATGCTGGATGTACGCTTTTACGAATGTATACAATGTATGTTGCTAAAACAAACACGATGGGGATTATGCCTTGGCCAGCTGCTGAACAAACAGGAAGTGACGGTTCATGGAGCCCAAACCGGATCTAGACTACCAGTTGTCCCACTTCTATTCTGTGGATGCCTCGGTGGCTGCGTTGGCTACATTGCTGACTTTGTGTGCTTGCGGTTAGATGCCTCACTCTGAGAGTGTGGGTTCGAGTCCCGGATGGGACTTAACCCAAAGGGTACAAGAATTTGTACTTTACTAAGAAAGTGCTATCTCAAATATGACATATGTTACAAAGGATATTAGTCATAAACAGTTCGTTACAGACATTATTTGTGACCGCCTCCGTGGTCTAGTGGTAGAGCGTCCGCCCGGAGAGCGGAAGGTCCGGGGTTCGGTCCCCGGCCGCGTCATACCAAAAGAAGTTAAAAGATGGTACTTGTTCTTACCCTGTCTGGCGCTCGGCATTAAGGGGCTAAAACAAGGACTGGTCGGCTCGGAGTCAGTATACTGTGTCTGAATGGGGTATTCATGTTAAACTGCGGCATGGTATCTCATTGGGCTAGCACTATAAATCGGCATCAGTCCGGACTAGTACAAGCAGTCACACACACACAAACACACGTGCATGCACACGTCGCTATAATGCAATAATCTTGGACGCGATGTTAAACCCAGTATCACATCACCTCGCAGACATTATTTGTTGTTATTATTAAATTCTAATTATTCACAATGTCAAAATCGAAGATTGTTTCACATCCACAGCAATGTATGCAAGGTTTTTTTTTGTAGGATTAACAGAAACAGCAACACTTTTAGATTGACCGCTTCCTGACGCTGCTAAGCATCACAAGTCGACATATCAGCTTATGTAAACATTCATCACGCATCGTTGCACCGGTAGCTTTAGGCCACGCCCCCAAATACTTTTGTTTTGGAATCCGATTACGGAGCGTGTGATTTCAGCACGTTCACTTGGACATTTAAATACTTTCTGCGAATGTTATGATATTTGTTCTCTTGGGAATTGACTTCAAGTATCTTGAAAAAAGTTATATTCGCATCAAAATCGCAATCCTTTTTTTCATTTGCCCTTTAACATATTTTCATTTGCAAATCTAACATATGATAAAATCAATTGAGAGGTATAGTTTCGTTTGCTCCTCAGTTTATAGTCAGAATGACATGATCAACAGATGTCTCCTCCTTACGCAGCAACACTTGACAGCAATCGTGACGGCATTAAGGCATTAAGGCAATGGGAACGATCACTGAACGATTATATCATTACCGAACAAAAACAAAACAAACTCGTTTTGATAGCCCAATATACCGTTACATGTCTTTTATAGCCGTGGGCAGCTGCAATACTGCTGATGCGGCTTAAAGAAATATTTCCCCCGTTTAGATCCGGGTTAGAATAGGTTTTCAGCAAAAATTGCAAGAGGCGATTAACGGGATTGGGTGGTCAGGCTCGCTGACTTGGTTGATGCGTGGATCACAATCGTGTGGATCGATGCTCACGATATCAATCACTAGATTGTCTGGTCAAGACACGATTATTTACAGACCGCCGTCATATAGCTGAAATATTGCGTGTGGCGATAAACAAACAAACAAACAAACAAATAAAGTAATATTTACTCACTCACTGCCTTTTATAAAGACAGAAACGATGATGAAAAATGTTTTCCAACTTGTCATTGTCTCATGGCTAGTCTCTAAATAGATACTGAAATTATAAATAACGACCAGCGACTGTAGGGAAATTGCTTTTATTGAAACAATGTCTCAGCAGCCACAGCAGCTTCATCACTACATACTCTCTCTGTACACACAACTAGATGATAGGTACATTGTACACGCCTGGTGTAGTCTACACGGAATATCACATGGGACGCTTGTAAGCACAGGGTTTTATTAACAACACAGTCATTATTGCTATAGCACGCTGGGTTGTCGCCTGTTAAATATATATTACACTATACAGTTCCTGTCAATATTTAACGATAGTTCCTAATTACGAGCCGTGTATTACTGATGTTTGGCCCTGAACATGGTTATAAGCGCGAGTGCTTTATATGTTGTATCAGACATCATGCCGTTCCTATCAAGATTTTACATAATCTCTTTTAAGGTCTTCTGGTACCACCTTTTGTCCCCGAACGAGAGTTAAATAGGCCAGCCATCCGGTCTATGTATGACAAAGAGAAAAAAGTATACTTAGATCACAGCGATACATTTCCGCCTTTTGGCTCCGAGCAAGGATTAACATTGTACTGTCATACGGGCAAATTATTAATGTCAAAGAGAAAGTACTTTATATGGTAAGATTACAACGTTATATCCTCATTAGACGTTTTGTTTAGCTGTTCTTCAGCCCTGAACAAGGTTTACATATAGCTACAAGCTGACATACTGAATACGCCAGCCAACTAGACTAGTACGATACATAATCCTCGTTTGGGGCACTGCATTGTCATGAACAAGGGCTTTCAGGTGACCAGAGACATTTGAACCAGACAATACATATTCTACTATTTGATATAATACATTCACTTGGTCTTTTTACGCTTCTCTCCGCCCGCCCTGAATATGGATATATAGAGCTGTCAATTTATGGTATATACATGTACCATATACTATACACTTCTACAATATGTCGACGATATACCTTGGGCCCCGAATAAGACTACACAACAAGTCCGTCATCCATATCAGAGAAATGACATACTATATTTGTTCTACCACTCTCAGCACTTATTACTACTCGGTATGGGCCGTGTATTGCCGCACTACGACCCTGATCGAGCCTTTTTAATTTTCAGTGGTATTTACAAGAAATCCCTACACAAGGCTTGTTCTTTTCCTCCATTTTGGGTATTGACATTCATGTTATGTAGCTATCACTAAAGATTAATGAAATTAATTTCTAGATATGACATTTAATATTGGTACAAATTATCAAAATTACTCTATAAAAGGACATTTATCATAACCCCTGCGTCAATAAGATTATTAGTCATCAGTGATTTGGTACTAATTGTGATGAAGGGAGAGGTGTAAGGCCTTTAATGACATAGTTTACTTTACATATATGTGACATTTCATATTAACATTCTTACAATTTATTTTCCTTATTCTGTAACTGTCCTACAACGAAATGAAAAGTAGCAACATCTGCAGCAATATTGGGGATACAATTGTAGTAAATATATGTTTATGAATTAATGAAAAATGAAGTGGCTATGAATACGGACACTTGTCATATACTAAACAGAAACTGTAACCATCACAGAAATATAAATATGATTACGAAATCTATTTCATTTACATCATAAAGACGCCGATATCATTTTCATAAATCTATATACATGTAATACATCATATAAATATACACCGTTTTATAAACATATATGGGTTTCCATGCCAACAGGTGACTAACTGGGGGTTTGCTGTACGTCTAATCATCTACATGTATCACAAACACCTAAAAACGTCATGCATATTTGTTTGATTTGCTCTACATCGGAATTTACATCAGGACAAGGAACCAATATGACTACGGATTAACGAACAACCCTGTTCTTAAGTCACTCTAAGAAATGCCAGTACCCTGAAACGTGATCATTGTCATCATCCGATACCTCTTTGTTTGTCAACAATAATTACGTTCAAATTCATGCAAGTCCATTCGTTTACCATTCGTTATCACTCGGGTCTTTCCGTAATTTGCAATACAATAAAATGTCTGTTCCTGAATGAGACGATTTTTCACAAATGATCTCGAAATGGATTTTTTTCAATGTATTATAGAATAAAATTGTGAAAATATCTGTCGCCCACGCAATGAATCATATTCACAAGCAACCATCAAACGTCCGTACGTTGTTCATAAATATTTTATAGTCTCTTCAATCCAACCAATACAATCCATTCAAGGTAACTCTTTGTATCCTTACGAATTCCACTCATGTTTTGTACATCACTGAATTTAAAAAAGTATTGAGATGAACAATCAACAGCAAATAAAGACAATATTTATTACATCGTCTCATCACTTTGATGACGAAAGATAATATAAACAAACATATAACAATACATCATTTGTTGATGGTAGAGTGTAAACTGAAAGTAAATATATTCATGTACCGGGAAATATAATCTTCCAACAAAACAAACATAATCTACAAGACACGTATCTCAGATATATGTAACAATTATATATCATACATAATTTTTGTATAAATGCCATCACTATTACCCCTTTGTAAGGGGATCGGGATACAAATAGGTCTTCAGCAACCAATGCGTGCCGTAGGAGGCGACTATGCTTTTTGTGAGAGGCGACTAACGGGATCGGGTGGTCAGACTCGCTGAGTTGGTTGAAAAATGTCATCGTGTCCTAGTTGCGAGGATTGACGTTCGTGATGTCAATCACTGGATTGTCTGGTCCTGACTCGATTATTTACAGACTGCTCTCAGAACCTTGCTACATTGCTGAGTGCGGCGTTAAACAACAAACAAACAAACAGTCAGGATGAATATCCAAAGCACCTCAAGTTTCTCCTGGTCACGTGACGTGTGTGAATCCGGGCGATGTTTCTGGTCAAATTAGCCGACCACATCTGAAATAGAAACAAGAGAAATATTCATCCATGTCTTTCTGCAGAGACTCGTAGTTTACATAAAAACCTTTCAGTAGCATTTTTCGGACATTTTTGCAAATATATGCACCTTCTTTAATGTTATCATCCACTGTTTACTCGTGATAACATGGCTATATATTTGGACATGACCCGCCCTGCCTTTCAGGAGGTTAATCATCCAAAGGGACATGTTCATTTCTGTGATTTCCTTTTCCGATTGTCAAACAATTATCAGTTGGGTATGATAGTACTTGTATGGTTGCCCGTCAGACAAGTCACCCTTGTATCTGAATGGCTGAGAGAATGATTGAATGACGACATGCATCGATGTTCACGGTATCAATCACAGATAGTGTCGCTCGCTACCACACCAAGAGTTTACTCACTTATTAGTTTTGGTTGATACATGTTTACTTAAGCAAGTGAGATTTAAGCAGTGTTCCAGCTTTTTAAGGATGGGTAACACCATGCCTGGACTGCACAGCGCATGACCAACCTAAGAATCGAACCCGTTGTGACAAGCGAACAGTTTGACCACTGGGCTAACACTCCAACTCGTAGCTGTCATATAGCTGGGATATTGCTGAGTACGGCTTTAAACAACAACAAACAAACAAAAACAAAACAAAAAAACTCGTAACACTTACAGTTTTCCGATACATCAGGGCGTGAAATGTCGACCCCATCACCATAGTATGCAGGATAAGACGCCCCACCAACCATGTTTACTCCCGGCGTTCCTGCGACGATGTTAACGTCGCCGTCAACAGACAACCCTGCTGGGAGGTTATACCCCGCTCCACCGACAACGCCCCCTCCAACAATATTCACGTTACCGTCAATAACACTGGCAGCGGCTGGGACAGCCACCGCTCCACCACCCAAGCCAACGCCACCTCCAACGATGTTGACGTTTCCGTCAATAACATTCGCACCTACTGGGACTGGGACCGCTCCTCCACCCACACCAACTACCCCGCCAACGACGGAACGGCCTATGAGGGGAGGAGACGCCATGGGCATTGGAATAGGCATTAGCACAGGAAACGGCACTGGTATATGAATAGGCATCGGTAGAATGATAGGCATTGGTATACGTAGAGGCAACGGAAATGGCATGTGCATTCCTATAGGAAAACGTCTTGACAAGAAAGGAAAATGAGAAGTTGTCGGATTTGTGAGACAGGAGACGAGAACGACGGCAAGGATGGATTTTGTTGCCATGGTTACACCCTTGAACAGAAGAAACAGTGAATATCACTTTAGTACAAAAAATCATTGATATTAGCATGGAACAACTTCCCAAAGACTAGGTACAGACAAGCAATGAAGCTCAGAGGAACAATGTACTACTGGTATTTAGGAAGTGAACACACTGTGTTTTCAATGTAGAGCTTGGTTACCTGTAGATTTGACCGCCCTTAATTGAATTAAGAACCGAACGCGCACCTCCGAAGAAAACTAAGCAAGCCTTGCAAAGATTTCGTTATACACCTGGCGTCGCTATTATGACGTCATATTGCTCATTGTGACGTAAAAAAGATATGACGTCTCATTCGTATATAGAAAAGCGCCAAATACCTCCTTGCAGTTTTCTATCGTGTTTTCTGCACATAACGTATTGCCCCGCATCCTTTGTATTTTATAGCAACCACAACTTTATATATAATTATTTAAATATGCCTACCGACAATGACTGAAAAATGTACTCTACTATGAATATAAGCTTCTGCAGGGATGCGATCGTCAAACAAGTTGTTTCAGTCAGAGGGGTTTTATTAGCTTTGCGAGCAATTTCCAATTTCATGGTAGAATCTATAATGGGGCATATTCCAACAATAAAATAACAGTTTAAAGCCAACAATTTGTGAATTTTAGAAAAGAACAAAATACGAAAGTTGAACCTTAAGAGCTTCAACACAGATCACTACTCCAAACCTGCTTCAAATGTCAAACGTATATGAAACTGCATACTTACCCTGGACAATATTCGCTGCAGATACTATAGATTTCTGTAAGTGTTATGAGGAAGCACATCAACCCAGCATTTATATAGACACGGTAAAGGAGGAAATGGTCACCCATCAATTAAGGACCGGTCAAAACATCTGTTAGTAGACAAAGCATCACTCAAACGTGTTGTCGTGTAGGAAGAACGGCCGTATTGGTTTGAAGGGTCAACATACGTGGGTTGTCCACATTAATAATGTCCCATCTGGGGAAGTACGTTGGGCAGTGTGTGAGGGGGTCAGGGGGCAGTTGAAAGGCCGTGATAGTTGCTGTGTCTCCTGAAACAAGATCACACTAAATGATATTTTAAATTTCAATTGATGTGCTACTAAGCGTCTGTGTGATCATGAACTATTTTAGAATGTCGGTGCTGAACAAAGATGTACAGAAAGTGCTGCCAATACCAACACTTTCATCGCTGCATGAACTTCCAGAGACAAATGTATGAGAACTTTCTGAAGACACAAATAGAAGAAATAGAGTTAATGAGTGGTGGTAGTAGTATTGGCACCATCAACTGTTAGTAGAGTGAGTGAGTTGGGTATAATGCTGCAAAGGTGGTAGAGTAGTAGTAGTAGTAGTAGTAGTAGTAGTAGTAGTAGTAGTAGTAGTAGTAGTTATTTAAGTAGTCGTAGTAGTAGTTGTAGTAGTAATAGTAGTAATTGTAGTAGTAGTAGTAGTAGTAGTAGTAGTAGTAGTTGAAGGTATAGTATACTTGCAGTAGTAGTAGTAGTAGTAGTAGTAGTAGTAGTAGTAGTAGTAGTAGGTTAAAGTTATGGTACACTTGAAGTGATTGTAGAAATAGTTGAAGAAGTAGTAGTAGTGGTAGTATAAGTAGTAGTCATAGTAGTAGTTGTAGTAGTAATTGTTGTTTTCGTAGTAGTAGTAGTAGTAGTAGTAGTAGTAGTAGTAGTAGTAGTAGTAGTAGTAGTAGTAGTAGTAGTAGTCAGTATTTTGTCAGTTTTGGTACTTGTTTTCACAAATAAAATTTTGCTCAGGGGAAATTTTGTGAAATGAACTTGAACCTACATCTCTACAAAATAAAATACCATTGTCTGTGCCTTGGGAAGTCGACAAGCATGCGGGAATTATGGTATGTGTATGTGCAGTTATCTCCCTTTGACCACTCAGAAATGAATATTCTCTTTTATGACGTCTTGGTCCCACACATAGTGGCCTTGACCGTCATACATGGCTTTACCCGAAGAAATAACATGATACACAGTTATATATGTCTTCACGATGGAAGCCTGATGGACAAGGCGGGTAGCCCATGTCTAAACATTAATTGTTTTAATGAAGACTGGGGTAAGAAATAACTTGCAACCCTTCCATGTTTGAAATGTTGAAAATTTGTTCCACAAAAAGTGAGCTTGAACAATTTACTTTACAAACAGGAAATCAATATCGTAACAGGTTAATTTCAGAGATTATTCCAAGTTGTATGGGATTTTTACGGATACAAGTTCATGGTCAAGACCGGACGTCAAACTTCCAATTTTCTCAAACTCGAAAAGTTCTCAAAGAGGATGTCCAGATGCCATTAACACAAAAGATGACTTTGTCACGAAGCACAATCTTATCTATCAGCATTAGGCTGATGAATCACTGGTGAAGTTTCTGACAAACTACCAACAAACAAATCACCTCGAGGGGTGGAATTCAAACCTGAGAAAACTTGAAGTAGCCATCTCAATCGATAGAGATACTACAGGTTGAGGAAGACAATACTGAGACCACAATCATCAAGCTTCGATCAGGTAGTTCGATGTCCCCCCAGAAGAAGATTATCGGAACTTAGGCCATGCCCTTGTCAGGAAGAAGCGACAACTTCTTGCCAACCAGAAACCAGTGAACGATTATCACAATGCCGTTTCTCATCTAGTTGGACTGTGAATTATGACCATTGAAATGTTAAATAGAAATTCGACAAAAAAGACAATATTTTGTACAGTCATAATACTTTTTATCAATTATTTGTTTTAAATATGAAAGTAAATGAATGCTGGATGTACGCTTTTACGAATGTATACAATGTATGTATGTGGCTAAAACAAACACGATGGGGATTATCCCTTGGCAAGCTGCTGGACAAACAGGAAGTGACCGTTCATGGAACCCAAACCGGATCTAGACTACCAGTTGTCTGACTTCCATTTTGTGGATGCCTCGGTGGCTGCGGTGGCTTCATTGCTGACTTTGTGTGCTTGCGATTACATGAGTCACTCTGAGAGTGTGGGTTCGACTCCCGGATAGGTCTTAACCCAAAAGGTACAAGAATTTGTACTTTACTAAGAAAGTGCTATCTCAAATACATTTGTTACAAAGGATGTTAGTCATAAAACGTTCATTACAGACCCTATTTGTTATTATTATATTTTAATTATTCACAACGTCACAATGATCGTTTCACACCCTCAGCAATGTATGCAATGTTATTTTTGTAGGATTCACAGAAACAGCAACACTTTTAGATTGACCGCTTCCTGACGTATCCGTAAAGCTGCTAAGCATAAGTTCACATATCATCTTCATTCGTCACCACTCGCCCCTTTCCGTAGCCTGCAAGAAGACTCGTCCCCCTATCGATGAATGTTATGTGCGAAAATACGACAAACCAATCAGAATGCGCGTATGATTTCAAGTTCTTCGTCAAAGAATCCCTCAGAAATATTTTTGATTTTACATATGTCTTGCATCTAAAAAATACCCTAGACACAGTTAAATGTGTTCAATCATACTGTATAATTCCACATGTCTCGATGTGCTTTAAATTGCATCCGAAATATATATAATATATGGGGAAATAAATGTGAACCATTACGCAACGAGTTGTCTATTGTTTTAGGTATGCCCGTCTGCGCTAAGACGGAACCCGGTCGCAAAAATGGCCATGAGAGGGACACGAGTCGCTATTCGGCTTGTCCCGGAATAACACGAGTTGGGTCACGAATGATATCATCTTATGAAAACATTCGTCACGCATCGTTGCACCGGTAGCTTTAGGCCACGCCCCCAAATACTTTTGTTTTGGAATCCGATTACGGAGCGTGTGAATTCAGCACTTTCACTTGGACATTTAAATACTTTCTGCAAATGTTATGATATTTATTCTCTTGGGAACTGACTGCATGTATCTGGAAAAAAAATTATATTCGCATCAAAATCGCAATCATTTTTTTCATTTACCCTTAAGACATTTTCATTTGCAAATCTAACATATGATAAAATCAATTGAGAGGTATAGTTTCGTTTGCTCCTCAGTTTATAGTCAGAATGACATGATCAACAGATGTTTTCCCCCGTACGCAGAATTCACCTTAAGTTCTGTTAATCTATCCTCAGATTAAAACAGTCAACACCCGATTTTCTAGTATATGGTGAATTAGGTAGATATCCGTTAACGATTCAGATAAAAATAAGAATGATATCTTTTTGGAGCAAACTAATTGTATCGACTAATAAACTATCTAGCCGCATCTACCTGCTAATTCATAAAATCACAATGACTAGCAATACTGCATTTCCATGGCTCACCTCAATTAAAAATATTTTATATGAAACTGGTTTGAATTTTGTCTTTGATACTAACTCTTTTCCAAATCTCTCTTGGCTTAAAACTAACGTTAAACAAACCTTAATAGACAACTTCTATCAAAGCTGGAATGTCAAGGCGTGTTCTTCATCTAAAGGCAAATATTATACAATGCTAAAAGACAAACCACAGTTAGATGAGTATCTATTATCTCTCCCATTGAAACAAGCAATCTGGATTCTTAAACTGAGAACATCAAATCACAGACTACCAATTGAGAAAGGCAGATGGTTTAACACTCAGAGTACTGAGAGAACTTGCACTTTATGTAACGACCAAATAGGAGATGAATTTCACTTTCTATTAGTATGTCCAAGACTTAATGACCTTCGAAAACAATACCTTCCGGCCTACTATACTAAATATCCATCCGCTCTAAAATACAATCAATTAATGAAATGTTCATACAAAC